GTCTATAAGTACCTCAAGGGAGGGAGTGCAGAGGACGGTGATGGTCTCTTTTCACTGGTGGCAGTGGTTTCTTAACAGTGAGGGTGACAGAGCCCTGGAACAGGCTGCCCAGAGAGGTTGTGGAGTCTCCTTCTCTGGAGATCTTCAAAACCCGCTTGGATGCAGTCCTGTGCCACGTGCTCTAGGTGTCCCTGCGTATGCAGGGGGGTTGGACTAGATGATCTCTAGAGGTCCCTTCCAACCCTAAGCATTCTATGATTCTATGATTCTGTGATTCTGTGAATACAGGTGGATTCAGCTTTAGGGCTGAACACATAATGAGATTGCATGTGGCACACTTTTAATTCTCATAGCACGTGCATCTTGAAATCTGCCAGGTGTTGAAGATTATGGTAAAGGCAGTATCATCCTGTGCAACGTGATCTAGGTGTCCCGGCTTGAGCAGAGGGTAGAGATCTCCAGAGGTCGCTTCCAACCTCAACCATTCTGTGATTCTGTGATCAAAGTGTATGAGGAATATTTTGATCAGTGCTAAAGAAAAGGTTTTATAATGTGAAATTCTCATACATCTGACCGATTAGTAGTTTAATTTGCAATGGCTTCTCTATTATAAATGCTGCTTCCAATTTTTAGGTGGCTTGTATTTTTTTTTAAGCTTTAAAATCTGAAGAGGATGACTACTATATTAATGGTGCCTGGACTATTGACTGGCCAAGAAAATTTGATGTTGCTGGAACAGCTTTCCATTACAAGAGACCAACAGATGAACCTGAATCTTTGGAAGCCCTAGGCCCTACATCAGAAAATCTCATAGTCATGGTAAAGTTATAGTTGATATATTTCTGAATTTATGAATATGTACTTATATTCTGAGGAAAAATGAGGCCATGAATAGAATCAAAATGGGTAGTATTTACAAAGAATATATTGTTTTACAAAGAATATTCTAAGACTTTTGAATAATTTCTTTAAAATCAACTTTCTTTTAAAACTGGCAGGCAAACATTGTGATGAAAAAGAGGAATAAAGATAGGAAATCCCTCAGGAAATCTCACTGAAAATACCCCAGTATCATTCTCTTCTGTGTTATGTTGCTTCAGAATAGTAGCATAATTTGTAAATGGGATGTGTATAGTGTCTCTGTGTACTTCTGAGGTGTGAAAGTGTTGCATATAGCAGCTGCATCAGGCTGTGATGGTGATGTGTGGTATCTGTGTGCTCTGCTTTCCTAACAGTTGTTCTGTAGATACCTGGTTTTAAACAGGGCCTGAGGGAGAAGTAGACCGTATTTCTGTACTTCATGTGGATACTCCAGAGTGTCATGATTTCGCCTGTGTTAAATTATTATGTTGTTTTGACAAAGTCTGCTTTTAATGGTTTGTACAGAATGTGAGAATGTAATAGAAGATGAGCCCAAGGCCCTTGCACCCTGTCTCTGACGATAGTCAATAGTGAGGCCACTGCTACTCCGAGGAAGAGTGTGGGAACAGGGCTGCCAGATTTGCAGCTCAGGGTTTGTTTGAGACAGACATGACACTTAGGTATATAGAGCAATTGCCCCCTGGGTATTTAAATCTTAGGCAATTTTTTCAAACACCTGAACCCCATTATTTTTCTGCTGCAGCTGTGGATAACTAGGGAGCCCATATAAAATGATTTATGGAATGGTTATAGTGACTTTCTCAGTCAGTGCCACTAGCTTTCTCACCAGAAGTTTTTGTGCCCTTCCATCCAGTAGGGATAGATAGATAGGGATAGGTTGCTCTGCAAAATGAGATGAGAAGTAACTCTAAGATGGATTGCTACATTTTAATGTACTTGATATGTAATATTAGCAACAAAAATGTTTGATAGAGGGTCAAAGACTAGACTTACTAAGAGAGCACAGTGTTGGACAGGTGACACATGGGAAGGCACAAGAGTGAGGAAAACAAAAAACTCATAGTGACAAGTGTAGCTAAAGCTGGAGTGAGAGTTAATGATACTCATTAAAAGCTTATTCTGTTTTTCACTAAGCTAATTCTGTTGGCTAATGCAATGAAGGAAAATGACCTTTGTTGTTACTACTATAGGCACAAAGCATATAAGCAAAGCCTGAATGTTAGGGTCACAGCTACTGTGTGGGTACTTCCTCACAGGATTTCAGTTAGAACTTAATAATATGTTGCATAATTAGGTTGCAGTAATGAACTTTAACTTCAAAAAAAAATCAGCTATCAAATTATTTTCCGTCAATTAAGACACTGATTTCATGAAATTATCTTTTTAAAATTATTGTTTCAAGATTTGACAAAAGTTATGAATTTGTGGTAGGAAAGAGGGGGAAATAAAAAAGCTCACCTTTATTATTGTATATGCTTTAAAAGTTAGTCTGGATTCTTTTGAAAATACCTGAAAGAACTATTGTGGCTCACTTTATTACCTTTTTTCCTTCCACAAGACATAACACATATCTAAATTAAATGTCATTGTAATTGCCCTCTGCTTGCCTGTTTTAATGGTATAACCAGTTGTTTTCAACTACAGATTCTGCTACAGGAACAAAATTTGGGTATAAGGTATAAATTCAATGTTCCCATCTCTCGCACTGGCAGTGGAGACAATGAAGTTGGATTTACATGGAATCATCTGCCATGGTCAGAATGTTCTGCCACTTGTGCTGGAGGTAAGATACATACCAGGCATTCAGGCTAAAGGGTAAACTGAATTGCAACATACACATTACTACATAATTATGTGGCTAACTAACATGAAAATATTTCTTTCAGATATGCTTCAAAACTTAATTTAGTGAAAGAACATCTATTTTATCACGTTAGGTTTTTTTTTTTTTTTGGACTAGGTTTAATATGTACAGATTTTTGCATCAAATACGGTATATGTTGGCACAATGTATCTCTGTCTGCTGATGCTTCTTCTGGGATTCTCTTGAAGATGGGATATTTGCTTTGTACAGGAGCTTTCTTGATAAAGGGCATCTGAAGTTTTAAGTAAGGACATAAACAGAAGTCAACTACACATGTGTGTGTGTCTGTGTGAGTGTGTGTGTACTTCACATGATCCTAGGCAGGCCTTCTATCCTCCAGCCACCAAAGGTCAGGATGCATACTGGCAGCTCTTCTGTAGGAGGTGATAACAACTGGATCCTACTTCCCAGCCGATAGCAGTATCTGAGAATTGTTGCCAGTGGTGACAGTGATGGGGGATTTGTAGGTTGTCCCACGTGATTTCATCATGGGTGCCTTTTGCCCACAATTTACTGTATTCCTAATCCTCCTCCCTCTAGTGGCCACCAATGCAATTCTTTACCTCTGGCTGGGAGAGCAGGACAGTTGGCTTCCTTCAAAGCCAACACCATTGCTGCTGCATGGACTGGTGAGTAGAAGTGCTTTGTGAACAGCATCATTCTTCTCTGGAGACTGAATGCATCATCTACCTGACAGACCTCAGTTGCAGAATACGAAGGAGACAGGTTTAAATCCACCTCAGAATTTCAGCTTTCAGCTGTGCAGCACACTGTCAGTGATGAGAGGAAACAACTGTTTATGTTTAAAGAATGTTCAGACCAAATGCCCCCCCCCTTTTTTTTTAATGCTTCTGGAGGTGTTTATGTTTAGAGGCATCTTGATTCTGCTTGGATCATGCTGTGGCTGTTATGGGTTGTTTTGCTGCTTAAGCACTGGCAGTTTGCTTAGCTGTAAGCGTGTAAGACGCGAAGAGCAATACAGTTTCTCTTATGTGCAGCTAAATAGAGTCCTGAAACAGAGGCATGTAACCACCTGCATGACAGACTGCTTTTTCAACTAGTGTTTTAACATTCTTGGGTATGTAGAAAAGTCAAAGATTGAGAGAAGTAGGAAGGTAGGGGAGAAGTGTCTGTCTCATAGCAAAAGACAAAAACGTGTAAGTACTGCCAAATCCTGGTTTTATGACAGCAGTGAGTTAATAACCTTCTGAAGTCAAAGGGAGAACTCCCACTGATAAAAGTGGAGACAAGATTTTGCCATGAATCTTTTGTCATGCAAATCATTAGCATGTCACAGATTCAGAAATACAAAGAGAAAATGATATGGTCTGAAGGAGTAGGCCTCTGCCTAGAGAAAAACATTTTGGCGTAGTTAATTAACTTTTAAAGAAAGACATGTGAGTCATGGACATCCATCGTCTGCATACTTATTACTCATTTAATTTTTTTTTTCTATTGAAAGAGCATCTTAAATAGTTTGTGGTGGCTAAACAACATACTTTTCTCTCCTTTCATTCAGCTTAATGTGAGGATATACTGTGGTAACTAGGATCTGTGCTCAGAGGATAAATGTTTCATTGTAGCTATAATTCGTGTAGAAGCTGTATCTGTTTTCTCCATATGAATACCTTCTATTCCCTCAAGTTTATGAAACACCTTTTGCCATATGCCAAAGGAAGACAATTCTAAAAAGAAGCTGAGTCAGGGAAATAAAAAAAGGGAGAGAGAGAGCTTGTAAAGACAGACAGAGTAACTGGAAAAGCTAGCTAATATAAATATAATGTGTGAGAAATTTTAGAAATGAAACCTCTGCAATGCTTTGTTTATTCCTATAGAATTTTTTATCAAGTACAGTACTGAAATTCTATCTATTTGGAATCTGTCTTCAGAAATTTTTCTCAACATCAAAGGATAAAAGCTTGAAAGTTAACTGATTTCCCACTAATTTTTTTTCTTTTTTTTTCAAGTAAAGAACATGTGTGAGAAATACTAATGAGGAAATTACTTTCAATTTTTGTTGCTGAAAAACAGTATTATAATTTAAGTACAGGTTGTACATCGATGAAAGTCTTCAACATATCTCTGCCTCTTTCTGTAATTTGTACAGTACAGCTGACCTGCAGTGCAAAGATATTTGAGGTTCAAAAGGTTTGAGGATATGATTTTCCATCTTCAGAGAAGAAAGCTGTAGATTAAATCTAGCCGAATATATTTTTATATTAAAACATAGAAGAGCTGAAGACAAATCTCACTTTTAACGAACATTTTTAACTTGTGTCTATCTCTGAACCTTTCTGTGTTCTAATGTTCTGTCTTCTTGTCTAGGTACATGTTGCACTTAAAAAGCTGTCTTACCAACACACAGAAGTTACCTTATCAGCATGCAGATTTGCAAATATCTAGAAGCCAGGAAATGACAGATTTAAATGACTGTGAAATTTTATGTTATTTGCTGTGTCAGGGACCAATCTCTTTTCCTGGGGCAGTGTTACAGACAAATATTAGACTATATTGCATCACATAACATAGACCTTAGCCAGGTCTAAAGACAGAGTTACTATTTGGTGTATGTTCTTGATTCAAAGTAGTAAAAATGTGAGTTTTTACTCCCTACTTGAGTGCTGTTTTTGTATTGTAAACTTGGGTATATGTGTCGAATGTCATGAAGGCCAGATCCTGAACAGTCATGGTGAAGTCTTTGGAAAGTCTTTGGGACGAGTTCCTCGTTACTTAAAGTGTCTATAAAGCTAAGTGTTCTGAAAACTCAGTTGGGGCATCCAAAACTAATGGATTCTTTTCAAACTACACATAATACCTCCTCTCCCTCTGTAGTATTCATAGAGGAGTCTAGAAAATTAAAGTTTGTGAGAGAAGCTATAGAATGTTTAGGTTGCATCTGAAAGACCAGGAGGTAGCTAGACTTTTTGTAGTACAAGAAGTAAAAGGATGTGTATTTAGTAGTCATGCATGTTAAAGAAGAATGAAATATTTCATAGTTGCTCTGCAAGCAAACATCTTTATACAGAGAACTAAACAGAAATGAAAGACGGAGAGGAATTGCTTATGCTCATTCAATTTTGAACTGTATTGTAATTAGTACGTAGTAAACCACTTTTTAGCTTTTGTTTATTTTTCACTGTTGTGTGGCGCTAAACTGGACCATCACGTCTCTAAAAGCTGAGCTTAATTTTGGTATTTGAGTTTTACCAAAAATAGATTCTTCTGATTAACCAACTATTTTAAAAGCATGCCTCGTAATAGGCAATTCTTTTCCTTTCCTGTATTCATGCACCTCTTCATAGGTTGAGAGTATAACTTCACTCATTTTTAATATCTCATTGGATCTGTCTGTCTTTTAGTATCTTTTAGGCTTGGAAGTGCAGCATCGTAGCTTGTCATTTTATACACTAAAGTAAGCATTTTCTGTGTGGGAAAAAACTTCTTTTTAAAATGCAAATAAATTCTAACTGAGCTAGTTCTTCATCTCTGGGAACATTAGCACTACCTGCATTCTTCTTTTTTTTTTCTTTTTTTCCTTAAATTTCACTGATAATTATTCTACTCTGAGTAAAGAGTTTTAGAAAGGAAAGGTTAATGCTATCTTAGTTTAGGTATTTCCATAGTCAATACAAATTATATCTTGCCCTCAAGCTTTGCCATAGATTCATTGTCTAGTTAAGACGTACGTTATTTTGTGTCTAATACTATGTAGTTGCGCTTGAAATGGAAACCTTTGTAAAACTGTATGTATGCTCAGACCTGTGCAGAGATGCACTGAATTACAGAACAAGCATTTCAGGCAGCAGTGCCACTCAAAGCATATTAGGCCTGCTTGCAAATTTTTGTGTTTCAGCTATGTATTTGTTATATTGTAGGCCTCTAAAATGGTGGTAAATTTAGACAAGACTACAAGTAAACAGTATTAGAGAGTAGCACAAGATACATAAAGGGAAGGAAGTGAGGACAAGTTTCCCCTTTCCTAAGGAGAAACATGAATACTGAGAAATAGGAAGTAAAGAAAGTACTAAAATAGAAAAGGTAAATATATATCACAGATCACTGAATTACAGTTTTGTTCTCACGCCTCTTTCCTTATATCTTATAGTTTTCCAAGGGCAAATTTTCTGACAAGTGTCAGAAAAATGCATAATAAGGAAGTCAGCTGCTAGTGATATTGTTTAAAACAAAATTCAACAACTGACATGAAAAATTCCATCTGTGTAGTTTTATTTTTGTAGACATTAAAAATAAACTGTAGTGTACTGTAGTAAGTGCACATCCTTTATGTCTAAGATGCCTTATTATCTGGAATTTACCAGGTATCCTAAACATTGGTCTTGATGTCATTTAATTCCATTAGAGTTCGTTTCCAAATGAGTTAAATGTCTTATGTATTTGTGTGGTTTTTTTTGAAATATTCTGTCAATTTATTATGCAAGGTAATTCGATTGCTGTTCACTTTCCTTGGCTGGTCACTGTTGTACCAGTAGTGCCTACTGTGTTTTTCTTTGTCAAATGAATTATAAAACAAGTAAAGTTTCGTCAAGGAAAATGTAAGTTTGGCTCTGATAAATATCTTGTGATCTGATGAGTGAGCTCAGAAAGTATGTCTGGGTTAACCAGCATGCACTAGCTTTAGTGATGTAAGGCTCACTATGTATTGGTACTGGCATCTTTATTATTTGCTGTTGCAATTGGAAACCACAATTTCGGGGGGCTGTTTTTAAAAATAGGTACAGCATTAACATGACTGCAGTTTTAATTTAAGAATAAAATATGCTCCATGTGATTTTAAATTTGGCTGCTGAAAGTCATGCAGACTATTTATGAATTGAAATCTGTAAAGCATCTCAAATCTCTAGGGAGTATGGTCACTAAGCCACTGGAGTTTTGTTTTCTATTAGAATTGCATTGACCAGTTATGAGGACATTTTATGTCTTTTATTATAAACTATAAATCTGTAGATTTGAAAGCAGAATGTTTCTGTCTAACTGCTCATAATTATTCCCCCAAGAGTATAAATGAATTTGTTTAGCTGTGCTTTTTAGATTATTTTCAGAGACCATATACTCAGAAGAGTTGATAATGAAAAATATTTTTCCAGGGCCCATAGTGCTTAACTAAGTGTCAGTTGTATTCTGGGTAAAACCAGTGTTGCTAGTTTTTTCTCTCCCCCCCCCCCACCTTTTTTTTAAAGTAGGTTTGGAAGTTAGAATCTGAATTTTGTTTATGCAGTATAATTTTAAGTAACACTGTAATTATATAGCATTTAAACAACTTAATTGAGAATTATGTTTCCTATATGCAAAGCACATACTATATTGCAAGATGCTGCAGAACATCTTAAAACTGAACCAGAATGTCCAACTGGGTGGATTAAAGAATCTTCGCTTTGTGAGTGAATAGTGATCAATGCTGTCTGGGAGGGATATGTTGTCTGACCTGTATTCAATAAATACCATGGCTAGCATAAAATTTTTTGAAAACCAAGCACAATAATGCTTTGTGTTCATAGTATTTCAGAGTATTTTCTTATTGCATAGCTCTTCAGAAATGAAATTCCTGAGGCTGCCAGGTTCTAGCCAAAGCTTGGAAGGAAATGTGTATGGTGCCAGTAGGAATTTTAGTGAAAACATGATAGCAATATCTAAAATATCCCATAAGTATAGTTGATGGAATGACATACATTGTTAAATTGTGTAATTCTGAAGTATGCATAAATTATTTTTAAGCAATTACATTTCAAGTAAACTCCATTATGAGAGCAACTTACATTAGTAACCAAGAAAATTAAGATGAATGGAAAGGATAAATGATCGGTCAGAGCTGAACATAAATTCCCTTTCTGCCAGCAGTGCTATGTTACTGGTATCAGTGTTTGGCCTGACTGTTTTCAAATACTCTTTTTCCTTGTGGTAAAGTGCGAATAAACTCTAACATTTACATGGGTAATGGAATTTCAAGTGAATTGTCACAGCTTCCAAAGTATTAAGGTTTCCTGGTTATTTCTCAGGAATCAAAGAAGGACATTAAAGAGGAGAGCCTGATCTAGTAAAGGTTTGTCTCCCCCTTCTTACAGTGATGTATACTTTTTTCTCTATTAAAATAGTAATAAAGGAACAAAATAAAGAATTGAAAAAACTTGTGTCTCACATATATAAATATAAATAAAATAACCATATTGCACTGCTGATTTGAAATTTTGATTTATCGATTGTTTGATTTTCATATTATTCTGTTGTCATAATAAAGGCAAATATGGTCTTAGGTGTATTTGTTTGAAAGTTTTAATGATACTGGTTAAGGCATAAAATCTCGTAAAATCTCTCTGTAACACTGGGAAGTTTTTATTGTGGATGTAGTAAGCATGAACACATACACAGGAGTGCTGTGAGGGTGATCAAGGGAATTGGCATTTCTAACTTCCATGGAGAGACTGCAAGAGTTGACTTGGTTATCAAAGGAAAGTTAATAAACTGAAAAAATGTGTTGACTTAAGTAAATAAATTTTGCATTAAAATATCTGGACTAGAAATTAGAATGCTGCTGTTCAAGGTTGTGAAGGTCAGAGCTGAAGATGGCATCTGACTTTAAGTTGGAGCTTGATCAGTTTGTGAAGTTGGTTGAATATTGTTCAGAAATGGTATTTTCTTTTTATTTTTTATACATATTTCTGTATGTTAGATTTGATCAGAAGCCCATCTGGCTTTTGCATTGTGATTAGTGTTGCCTACAACTGTATAGTGTGGCATCCAGATGCATGTATAAAGATAAAACAAAAAAAAAAAGATACTGCTTGGTCTGTCTGGTTTGGCTGTAGGACATATGCTTTGTTAATCAATCTATTTCTCTTAAATACAACTTACTTTAAAATGTTCATGGTATTTATGGATAACCTGAGATGTCAGACATTTTGCCTGCTTTGGGAAAATTAGATCTTGCTATAATAAAAATAATAATAGGATATCTCTCCCCAGTAGCAGAGCTGGTGCTCTGAATTTAGGAGCTTTAGAGAGGTCAAGACTGCAGCATTAGGTGCTTTTGGTATAAACATGGTTAATGGAGCACACAAGATGTTGAGGGCTGATACCGTGCCCTCATATACTATACAGGGATCTGCCTACAGGCAGTCTATGGCCCATAAATGGTACGTTGAGTGATCTCCTCCCCCTGACATACCATGCACATCTGGGATGAAGCCGCAATTTTTAACTTCTTAGGGTGCAGACTGTTGAGTTTTCCTGAGAGTGAGTGCTTAAATTAACAGGACTTATTCTAGTTATACGTAACAGGTAATACCCAGATTTTGCAGAATGGTGTGGTGGTGATAACATGCTTATCCATCAGTTCCGTATTTCAATTCGAAGAGATTTATACTGGAAGTACACCACCAGAAGAATATTCTGTGTTCTGTAAAACCAAGAGGGTAGGGAAGGTGAAGATTTTCTAACAACCTATCCTGGCCAAAGTGCAACCAGGGATGCAAGATTCATGGGGCAAGGGGAAAGAAAACAAATAAGGGACTTAAACTAGTGAAAAGGGCATTCATCTAGCACAGACAGCTATGGTTTTTGGTTTGTACATTTTGGGTTGTAGGAGATGATTTGTACATTTTGCATTAGACTGTAGTTGCATAAAAATCAAAATAATCTACAAACTAGCAACAACAGTGTGGCCATTTTACTTGACTAAATTGACCACTGAGTTAGTCACAGAAGTTACTGTACTCTCAGGGTAGGTGGGAATCCAGCAAACTGAGAAAGGCTCGAACTTGCTACTCCTGTGCCTGAAGTCTCTTAGAGGGTGCTTCAGGGATATAATGCAAAAGGAGGTTATGATTTCCCTATGTTCTTTGCGCTGAACATCATAGGGACATTTTACTTGGCTCCATGTTGGAGTTAAATACCTAAATTCCTTAGAGGTTTCAATTTAGGAACCACAGTCCTTAATGACTAACACTGGAAGCAGTAGGTAAGTTGCTAAGCAAGTTTAAAAAGAACAAAAAGACTAAAATTATTTGGTAAAAGAATATCACTTTTTTCAGTGGAATGTTCAGTGTCTGTAAAAATTTGTATAATTAACTTTATTACATCTTGCAAATGTTTATCTCCTATAAAACTCTTCTCTTTGAAGAGAGAAAACTGTAGAATGAATTTTCCTAATATTGTAAGCCAGGATGTTTTAGTTTCTATGTATTTGTGTGCATTTCATAAATTAGAAAAAAAAAAAATAATTGTTTCCTTTTTTAAGAAGAGTTTAGGGTTTTTTGCACCTTTATGATAAAAATAATCTCATTATTTCGGTTTTATGAGTACTTGTATTCAATAAGAACTGTATATGAATTGCAGCTCCAAAGTCTATGTATCCCAACAAATAATCACACTGCTTGTTTTCAAACAGAGAAGGAAGCTCTGAGTACTGTGTTTACAAGAATACTCTAAACTGCACTGTTGTCATATATTCCTTAGTGGGGGATATTTCTTCATGCCTTACTTTACATCCTGTTTTTTAAATTGAAAAATCTGCTTAAAATGTTACCTTAAAAATATTGTCATGGCTGTGATTCTTCATGGTATTTTGGGAATTAATCATTTCTGAAACTGCCTGTTGATGATTAAATAATGAAAGAGGAGCTGGAACGTATCTGTGCCAGACGTAATTAGGATCTACACAGAAAAGCTGCATCTTTCAGAATGAATAATGCTTCCATACTTTAATGAAGAAAATGCTTATAGGATGACATGCATAAAAATGCAACACTGAATCCCAGTATTGCTATTTTATTTTATACCAGAGCACGTAAACAATAGTTCTGCATCGAAGTGTGGCCACGTTATGCTTGGTGATGTTTTCTTTGGAAAGTAGAGTGTTTTTTACTCAGAGAGAAGAGTAGATGGAAAATGGATTTTATGCAATATACAAATAAAAACAATGTGTTAGTAAATCTATAAATATATTCCCTTTGTTTTAAGAAACAACAACAATTCAAAATCCTCTCTCAGTGGGGTGGTCCAAAATTGATGGAAAATGAAGTATTTTGTGTAGTCAGGGGGCCTGGGCGTTCAGTCAGTTCAGAAAATTCAGATGCCAATTGAAGTTGGATAGTAGAATTAATCAATTAGTGAAATATGTTTTCAGTCAATAGGAGTAAGAATTGCTAACTAGTGGTGTTTAATTTCATCCCAAGGTGTGCAGAAACAAGAGGTGGTGTGTAAAAGGCTGGATGACAACTCCGTTGTGCAAAACAATTACTGTGATCCTGACAGTAAACCTCCGGAAAATCAGAGAGCCTGCAACACTGAGCCTTGTCCACCTGAGTAAGTTATAATTACCGAGATAGGTATCTATTTTGTACAACTAAAAATGTTTCTATAATATGTAATAGAAACTGTTGACCAAATATGGCATAAATTTTTCATATAGCTTTATGATTCTGTTTTACCAGATGGGGGCATTGGTTACCCCCATCTGGTTTACCAGATTCTAAGGGGATTGGTGATGGTTGCAAGTTCCTCTGAAATTAGTTGTAGATCAGTTGTGACCTGGAAGAGGTCTGATTTGATTGAGGAGCAGTGTTATCTCACAGTGTTATCACTATAAGTAAAAAATTAATACCAAAGCAGTTTGGTAAGATGAGAGTGCCAGGGGGTGGAGGACAGACCTGAATGCCACTCTCAAGGCACTAATGACAGAAGAGTCTTGAGCTGAGGGCAGAATACATACATTTCCATTCCGATATATGCGTACATAATGTACTGAAGTTTGCCATATTTTTAAGATACATGACATTAAAATTTGTGTTGAAGTTTTAAAATGAGAAGTAGCAAACACAGAAACTGCTTAGTAGGCCAAAACATCTACTGAAGGTAGTTTTGTCAACCAGCTTTCTCTCTCCCAGATGCTTAGGGCTGTACCACCATGCTGTGTGGCTTCAGGATTAGGTACATACTAGATTAAGTCTTTTTGCTTTTATCTTTAAAAATAGCTGTGTGTTATATATTAAAAAACTAATGAGAAACACAGCAGCTCATTTGTTCAAAAATGAAATTTGGCAAGGATATATTCCATAGCTTAATCTTACTACAAACTATTTTGAAACAGCTGTGATATTTTGTACTGGAAAATAATTTCATCATATGTGCTCCTCCTTGTGCTTTGAAACAATTAAACTTCTCAAAAAAAATATAGTAACAATTTATTGATTCACTGGTCAATCTAAGTTTGGTGATATTCTATAGCTGTATTTTACTATTATACTAAAGTCATTAATACTGAGCAAGGATAGATAGCAGTTTTAGATTATCAGTCAGTTAGGCTTTCTCTATAGATAGACTGACCAAAAACTTCCTTTCCTTAATTAATACAGTTGTGATCTCTCTGTGGTAGTTACCAAAAATTATGAAAATTAAAAGTCTCACGTTTGTTCTGCCTGAATGCCAGTAACACTATACCTTAGGTCCCTGAACAGCGGTAAGGACTTGTATACTTGTACCGAAATGCCAGAATTTATGAAAAAATGTGGGTAACCATTTCTGGATCCTATGAATTCCTTCATGATTTTCTTTGTAAAAGATGCATAATACTGTGTAATACTGGTGGCAAAGAATCAAAAAATCAAACTAATGAGGGTAATATAGCAATTTTATTGGGATCTGTCTGCCTCATTGGGCTTGAAATTAGCATGGAAAAATTAAAGGATTGATGCATGTTCCTACTACAGCATGTGATACATTCTGTAATACACGAAAGCGTAGCAGTACATCTCCGTTGACAGAAATTTCCGAAAAGGACAGATTTTGGGCAAATCCCAAGCTCACTCCCAAGAACAGCCACGATGAACGTCACATGCCTGACAGTTTCTGGCATGTGGAAGAATGCAACAGCATGCTAGGCATCAGCTTACTAATTTGCAGGCTTGACTTAAGGCAGTTTATCTATTCAGAATATGCGATGCTGAATGTGAAACCAAATGTGCCACACAGGGCGTTTTGTACTTAAAAATCCCATCCATGCTCAAGGTAAAATGTGAATGAGCGTCATTGATCAACCTTTAGGAGAAATTCCTCCCCTCCCCCTCCTCTCACTAGCATATCTTCTTGCTTGTGAGTTCACACTGTTAGGTAAGTTTTAGTACAACTAGCAAAGCAAATGTCATAGCTGCAAAACTAAGCATGAGCTTCTGTTTTCCTGATCCTGAGCCAGGGAACTTTGTCACGGTTCCTCTAATTAGCCTTGTCCACTCTAGTCAGTGGGTCAGACTGGTGGTTTTGCTTATCTTTTTCTGGCAGACCCTTTTAACTTGTTGTTGATTCATTCTGTTCCATCACAGTTCCCTTCATTATACCTGACTGCTACTCAGTTTAATTTGCTTCTATTTCAGAGTTAATTATTTTTATTTAAAACACAGTCGTTACAACAACAACATATTTTTAAATGTCTCCAAAAGAATGTGATAAAAATAAAACTAAATCTAAAACATCTAAAACCAGTTATATTTAATGTAATCAGAAGCCAAAGACAAGTTGAAATTGTGAATTCTGCTATCATTTCCCCTACCCTAAGGCAAAAGAGTAGAAGGTGAGAATTTTGCTGTGGACATACTTGCTGGATGTTACCAAAAATAACTGAACAGCATTTTCTTTACCATGGTCATTTGTGTACCTGGGAATTGTGTTGCTGTATTCAGGATGTTAGATGAGAGAAGATTGTATATAGGAAGGAAGGAAGGAAGGAGCTAGATTCTTTATGTTCTTTCACAGAACATAGTTCCAGTTATGAGATGCCACTTCATTAGGCTTTAAGGTAGCTTTGACTTAAGTGCTTAACAACTTGTAGAGTAACCACACTAGCTCTAGAGTATCTGGCTAGGGTAGAGATCTAATGAAACCACTATATGTCCCAAAGAATGCCTGATGCTAAGCAGTTGAAAGAGTGCTCCAATATGAGTGAGCAAATATGCTCTGCTTATATACTCAGCACTTTACTTTGTACTTGCTTTCTTCTTTTCCATGTCAATACTTTTTTATCCTGCAAATTAAGTGACAAGAGAGCTGTAGTAATGTCCTGGTATCCTGCCTCGCCCTGCATAGGCAGCCGGCAAAAGCATGTTGAATATCATGATTATGGAATACTGTTTTTTTCATTATTTAATATTATTATTATTATATTTTTAATTAAATGAGGTTAATTCAAGGCCTCTGGGTCAGGAGGTACTGTTATCACTCCATGTGGCTTCCTACCTTTGCTGCGCTCCCCGTCCTTCAATGAGTGCTTTCCTCAACGCATGCTTTTGTGGGCACTTTTTTCTTCTTGCCTTTACTATGTAGCCATTTAAAACCAAGTAAGCATTGACAATGATGTCAATATAAACATGATTATAAACATGTTTGAAGAAATATTTCCACTGAATTGAATTGACCTTTCATTAACCTTTCATCCCTTAAAAAGCAAAATTTTAAATTTACAGCCAGATTAACAGCTGTTAATCTCCTTTGCAACAACACTTAAGTAATCTAAATATAGTGCACATCTCTTGACTTTTAACTTATACACACAAACATTTGCAGCTATCATGCAGTGATTTAAATCTTTAAAAAATTTCTTAAGGTCATTTTATATGATGAATTATGTTTTCGTAGTGTTTACATTTCTCACTCTAAGGCATATGAATGATTTGCATTTCTGTATTGTAAAAAAAAAAATGTAAATATTTCATAACCAGACAAAAATTAAATCTTGGAAAGACTCATTTTCAGAACAAATTGCAAGTGTGAAGACCAACCACTGCAATACTACTAGAGAGGCAATCATCTTTGCATTTAATGTGTGCTTTGATCTATTGCAGTATTTCCCAAACATTTCCAGTTGCAAACCACTTTCAGATGGGTAATTTCATGTAACTACAGTGCAAATCCACATAAACGATTGAAGGGTTGGCGGGGGGGGGTTGATTGTTTGTTTATTTGTTTGTTTTTCCAGGCTCAACACTTGGCTGCTACGGCCTAGGTTGGAAACTGTTGCTATGAAAATTACAAAGTGCTTTTTTATTGGGAAATATTACTGCATTAAGATATGAATCAATATGTATCATTGGGAAGGTCCATAAGGTTCTTTTTTATTTCACAGTGGCGTAAGTGTATTGTTAACACTGATTCATATTTACTAATCTAAACTATTTTATTTCTGGGATTATGTAATTATCATTTCCATTTCTGAAATATATTAACTGAGTTTCCTAACTTTTTCTATCCAGATGGTTTATAGGAGATTGGTCAGAATGCAGTAAGACCTGTGATGGAGGAATGCGATCGCGAACAGTTCTCTGCATCAGAAGGATTGGACCTTCTGAGGAGGAGACACTGGAAAATACCAACTGTTTAACACACCGGCCTATTGAAAAAGAGCCTTGTAACAACCAATCCTGTCCCCCACAGTGGGTTGCTTTGGACTGGTCAGAAGTAAGGAAATTTTCAATCTTGGCTCATTGGCAATAGTCAAGGCAAGAGCTTTAGCCACTGAGTGTTTTCTACTGCTGCTTGCCAAGTTAAAGATTAATGAGGAACCTAATTGAATTAGAGTATTGAAGCAATTTGTGGCATCATATTTCTTTTTTTTCTTTTCACATATATTGTCAATTATGTTAAGTTGTTAAGATTATGAACTATTGATATTGGTCCTGATATAATATAGTAGCATAGAATAGTAAAGTAGTAAAAATAGTAAAGATGCAGTTGTAATAGTCATTTGGCGTGCAATAGTTGTCTTAAAGAAAAATTAATTTTCATATCCATAGGCAAAGAGCTGGAGAAAGAGGTGATGATTTACAGTATGAAAAAGAAAGAATGAACTGCTATAGTTTTCTTCAAGTAACGTTGATACAAAGAACTGTTTTTCTTAGGAACGTGCAATGAGAGGCACACCCAGAATTGGTGCTCTCTTTATTAAAGGAAGAAAAAATTTTATTAAACATAGTGATATCTGTTATAGTTTATACCCAGTTATGACTTTATGTTGATTCAAGTATTAAATTTGAAGGATGTGAACTTGTGTAGCAGAGAGGAGAAGGCAGATTTATTGTTGGTCTCTGATAGATTTGAATGGAGCTTTATCACATGCCAGTCTGAGGACAAAAGATATCTGTATACCTTTTGCAGTTCCTTGCTATCTAGCAGGGTCTTATCTCACCTGTTTTACCTCAAAGTAGTCTTTGGAATACTTCAAGGTAGGATTTCCTAAGTCTCTAAACTCCATATCCTTTCTGTCACATGCAGCCATATTATAAACTTCCTTTCATAAGCTGATCAAACTTTGTCTTAAAATTAGTTAACAGAGAGGTAGGTTTGCTTTATCCTGCTGCTGCTTGGAAAACTCTTACTGAACTTCAGTCTTTGGATTGCAAGAACACTGTAATTGCATCTCAATTTATATGTCTTCAGCTTTTGTTAGCTGAAGCACCCTTCTTCCTTTCCAATTATTATCCTTCAGAGGGCTTATCTGGATCATATTAATATTTCTGCTTTCATATTCCAGCATGTGTGAATTTTTTTTTTTTTTTTGGAAATGAATGATCAAACATATATGTTATCCCATATGAAATTTCACTTCTGCTGCCTTCTTTTGTTATTTCATACATTTACCGAAAATACCCCAAAGTTACAGTGTATCAGTTTAAGTTAAATAACCTTTTTTTCAGCTTCACAGACATCACATACTGATTACTTACACTCATCTTACTTTCTGCTTATATATCCAGATCTTTCTACTCTTTTCCTTTCAGTTAGTTTGTAGTAGATTCTTGTTATTTTTTTGGAAATGGCAGCATGCAAAAACCTTGCACTTCATACTGCCAAATTCCCCCTCATCTAAGTTATTGTTGTCTTCAAGGTTGTCCTTTTTTGGTTGTTTTGGTTTTTTTTTCTTCTGTGGAGCATACTGATACTCCTTTCTACCTCTAAGGTTATTTATGGTTGCAGGTGTTAGCCCTTGATTTCAGTTATACTCTCCTACTTTTCTACCATATTATTTAATAGACAATCAAAACAAATAATGATATCAGTTTCATGACTGATCCTAAAGGACTTTGCAGGTAGTAGTATCTCCTAAAACCCACAATTTTTCATATTCAGGATAATCCGTTGTCATCTCCCTTTCAAAGAAGTCCAGAGAGAACTGTTGTACTTTGTCTTAAAAAAGATTATCAAAGTGGAATGATTTTTAGATGATACCCAAAATTCATTATATCCCATTTTTTGTATACTTGCTTACTTTTAAGGAGTCTTTCATGTAAGATACTTTGTATTGTGCTGTAGATCTTAATTTAAGATTAATGTCCTTGTAGTTAATGCAGATAATGAAGATAATAATATAGTCTAAATAATGTAGCAGTACTTGAAGCAGTCATATCTTCATGTTAAATTACAATACTGTGAGCTGCCAGAGACTCATTCCCTGAGTGTCTGTATTTCATGGCTATATAGTCTTCATTAGTTCTTCTTAGCTGAAGAAAAATATTTGGATAAATATGGTTTTTATGTAATATATATTATATTTTCGGTATCAAATTTGAAAAGCAGACTATTTCAAATGTTCAACTATTTGGTTTTGTGCCTTAAGGATTTACAAATACCTGTCCTTTGATTGAGCTTTTACATCAAAGAGTTTTTTTTCTAAAATATAATGGAAACATCTGAAAAACAAATTATTTTCATTAACTTACCATGCTAATGCTTTTGGTTGTATTCTGAATTTCTTGGTAATGTACCATACTTTAGAAATGATACCATAATCTCATATCGTAAGACAGATAGCGATTCACAACCTTTATAGCTGAATCTGTCTGTAACTCTGTACAGTTTTAAGATAACAAGTTTTTAAAAAATCTATTTTACAAAAAGTTGTCTGCTTTAAAAACTGAACCCATAGAAATATGGCTCCTGTCAGCAAGGTTTTCCCCCTCCAGCTATTAGCTGCCTTTTTTACACCATAAGTAGAGCATCAAAATCAAGGCAGTCCCTCCCTGAAAAGGTAGAGGTTATTTCAGCTCTTCAGAAATGAATCTGTGACTTGGAAGGAATAAAAAAAAAAGAGCAAGAAGGAAATATGGATGAGTGGAAAAAATTGTTCGGTCAAAGACTCGTACATCAGTGTCTGCCAAGATATTGATAACTTGTAAGCTCTTTTTGTCCATTATAAATGTCCTTGATTTCTGGACATTCTGGAATATCTAGGCATCCTCTGAGTACTAACTAGAAGTAGTGTCCATACAATAAGTTATGCAGTTTCTGATTTGCTACCAAATTCTACAGGTTATGACACTCTCTAGGCGCACTGCTTTTTGACATTTATTTCCCTGATTATCAGCAGTTCTGCTTCTTGTCTGCCTGTCGTGATGCAGAAGGAAAGCTGAGAGAGAGCCCCTTGCTAAAGCAAATGATTCACACTAGTGACAATCCCCCACATACTCCCCCTGAGAGCCTCAATTTAGAAGGCGTTTTGGAGTGTTCCCTGGAGACTGAGCTGCATGTGAGATACAGCTGTAGCCACTAGTTTGTTTTAAGCGTTAGCAGCTGATTGCTTTCTCTGTTGCACCTTAATTGCACCTTAACTTTCCAGGGTTCAGGATATAATTCTTTGTACCTCTAAGGAGATGCTAGCCTCTACCTCCTCCAGTTTTACAAAGTGAATCGATCACCAATCTGTATACCATTCTGATGGCAGCAGGACTGTCTGCTCAATTTCCTACATGTTGTCTGTTTGCTTTTCACAGAATGCTTCAAAGATTAAATGGAACAGGAGATTTAATACATGTGATTTTTAAGCACTCATCTAGGCAGGGGCACCTGCTTCTATTTTTCACTCGAACGTCTTGCCTATTTTATATGAAATATTTGTGGAAGAAAATACATGCAGCGTCCCTTGGAATTTGGAGAAGATGTGAGCAATCACAATCATATTGTTGAAGACCTGATGTGCTCATCATCATTCTATTTTGGTCTCTGTTTAGCCTTAATATTAAATTCTTCCTGCATAACGGTGCATTTTCTACCACAGAGACAGAGAAGTTTCCTCTGTGACCCTCCTCCTCCTGTTTTCTAGTAGGCAGATGCTTGTTGTACATTATGGAGGAGATGGGACATTTGGGGTTAATGCCCCAAATGCAGTAGGAAGATTGAACCTGACTGTTCTGCCTGAGAACTGTAAACACTGAACTAGCGTAGATAAGGAGGCAGTACCTCTTTCTCTCTCTTAAAAAAGAAAAAAAAAAAAGAAGAAAGAAAGAGCAGTTGATTTATTGATTGATTGATTGATTTGGAAGTTCTGAATTATAAGCTCCAAATGGATGTCGCTCCTCTTTTGCAGTCCATTTAAAGATACTAGGCAGAGATAAGATGGAGCGTAAACCTATCAGCTCTTCATTGGCTAGTTTAGGTGACTTCCACTAAGAGTTTCTCTTTCCATTAATCTTATTTTGGGGTGGATCAGAATATACATGCACATTGACATATGTTCAGGGAGTATTGATATTTTACATCGTACTTTGAAACTGCTTTAAAGTGTGTTTAGGTTAGAGATGCAGCAGAAGTAGGCATACCACCGTGAAGTTTGGGTTACTGAAGTCACTTCCCAAAAATAAATCTTTTATATATATGCATATATCGTATATATATTTCCTTATTATATGGTGACCTATTTGGATGTGGAGTGTCTTTGGCGTTCCACCTCTTGAATTTTGCTTCACTTCTCCTTCCTAGGTAATATTATATCTCTGCAGCTGCTTGCATCAGAAAAAACAGTTCCACTCTTGAAAGTTTAGAATAATCCATGTGTAGGATTTACACTGTCAGAGGTTGATTCTGGTGCAGATAATGCAGTTGTGTTTGCAGGACAAAGGCAAACATGCTTATGAGGAATTCTAACACTGTGCTTTCAAAATCTCCAACTTGGCTGTTTAAGAGAAACTGATTTGGGGAAAGTCTTGTGGTTTTATTTTGTTAGTATTTTTCTTCTTCCCATTACACTGTGTGTGAATGTAAATGATAGTTAATCAGTAGCAAAATAAAAGGAGAAAGGGAGAAAAAAACACGAAATAGGAGCAAAAGCAGAGAGGTCCTTAAACCTGCCTGTGTTCAAACGGCTGTTTTATTATCTGTTTGCTAGTGAAACCAGCAGAACAGTGATAGAAGAAGGAAGCAAAACAGAATTGAAACTTAAAAAGTTTAAAATAAAAATCATAGCAGGGGAGAGAATTTCTATCTGAACTAATAATCCAGTTTGTTTACAGTCCAGTAAAACATTCATCTTTCCATGTGTTCCTTGAGGAAAAATGTCTTGCTTATGTCTCAGTTATCTGTAAGGGATGTAGAGGAAAGTCTGTACTAGCCTTATATAATGGAGTTTTACTTTCATCACTGAAATGCACACTCAGATGGGTTTCATGGTAGTAGTACATGTCTGCTTTACAGCAAAGTATTTTTCTTAAACCTATCCTAAAAGCTTTCATGTTAAAAAAGCAAATAGTAATATAATACCATAAATACAAATAACAAAGAAAAATATTTATCAAATTAAGAATTATTTAACTTTAAGACAATTGTCTAACAGCTTATTTGAGTTGCTAAACATTTGATAATTATTACCGTCTTGGTAGTCTTGGGAAAATGATGATTATAATTTAGTTATAAGAATACATATATAATCTCATATTTTTCCATAATGATATTTTGGGTACTTTTACTGACTTTTTACTGACATTTTCATTATTTGTATTCATATACTTTCAGTGCACACCAAAGTGTGGTCCAGGATTCAAGCATCGAATTGTTCTCTGCAAGAGCAGTGATCTTCTGAAAACTTTCCCAGCTGCTCAGTGCCAAGAGGAAAGCAAACCTCCAGTCCGCATCCGCTGTAGTTTAGGCCGATGTCCTCCTCCTCGCTGGGTTACTGGAGACTGGGGACAGGTAAGCTAGTCTGTATGAACATTATAATATTATTATTACCAGTAATATATATTACTGTTATTCTCCTACACAGGAGCACCTTCTCTGAATAAAGGTTTAGGGGAAAGCAAGAAGAGACATTCCTCTGAGTTTTCATATTGTTTCCTTGTTTGCCTAAGATTGAAATGAGAGGCAGAGTGGTGGTTGTCAGCTGAACTATCAAACAGGGCTTGTTGAGAGTAAACTGGTTTCTACAGGATGAGCTTTCACATGTGTTATTTTTACATTAATTAATCTTTATTACAGTCTTGTAGAGGGGGATGTTAAGAGTCAGCAATGTTGGAGATTTGATGTTTTTAAAACACATTGGACTGAGCCGAGAAGCATGTTGGTAATATAAAGCCAATACTATCTTAGTAAATGTACAAAAAGGTATACAGCAGCTCTAAGAATATCAGAAAATCTTAAAATTTTACATAAAATATGCTTAATTACCAAATTAGGATCTAAATTGTCACAACACAGGCTGAACAGTGTTGTATGGAGTGTTTTTGTACAAATTAATTGGTTTTCTCTCTATCATTATGATTTAACATCTGAAATATGATTAGTGTCTTGATATTTCAGTTTCTAAGTTTTATGAGTAATTTACCACTAATGGCTAATCACAGGAAAATCATCTATGGTATTAGACTGTAGTGTAATTGAAATGCAATCCATCTTTTCTTTTATGCCAGTTGTCTGCATGCTTATTTGCCCTAAATTGATACGAGTGTTTAAATTATTGTTTAGTTACAAAAATAATTCTTTTTGAAATTGCGAAGTATTTTTCTTTGAAAACTACTTTCCTTTTTCCTTAAAGAAAAAAAAATTCTAGCCAATTTGAATTCTTACCTCTGGATTTTTTTTTCTTTGCTCATAACTAAAAGATTTCCCTCATATATAGTCCTCTATATACTTTCAAAAATGAAAAGTTCTGAACTATTTTATGAAAAATATCTTTGTATTAATCAAGTATCCTTAATTCTTTTTTTTTTGTATTTGTGCATGTGTGCCATTCATGATTGTTCTTCAGTTATCTTGCTTTGTATTTAAGAATTGGATCCAAGTTGTTTTACTTTATCTGTCTTATCTTTAGTGTTCTGCACAGTGTGGTCTTGGGCAGCAGATGCGAACAGTACAGTGCCTCTCATACACCGGACAAGCATCCAGTGAGTGTCCAGAAACACTTAGACCTCCATCAATGCAACAGTGTGAAAGCAAATGTGACAGTACTCCCATTTCCAACACAGAAGGTAAGTTTGTCCTCCTAGTATAATTTATTTTGGGAAAAAAAAAGTGTTATTGCATGCGTTTATTAATAAAACTTCCATTTCTTAACAAAACCCTATGTTATATCATCTCCCAGACTGTGATTTTTCTTATCAATTGTTGTAGTTCAAAGCTGAAGTGAATAACGCAGTCTTCTTTAAAGGCACAGGCATCCTAAAGGCATCTTTGACGTAACTTTTCTCACTACAATATGGAGGATTTTTTATGTGAGTTCTCCAACCACTTTGGAGTTTAATAATCTATTTCTATGGAACAAATACTCTCTATACACAGAAAAGGCAAATTTATGCTACAGTTTCTCCTGATTTGGTATTCATTTCGTACCTTCTCTGTACATTTCAGTTCATAGCAGAGATTCAAAATCGTTATGAAAGTTTGTCAAATTGAGATGTTTATAATAAAATGAAGCATGCTAAAATCTTCTGAGAAATACACCAATGATTCTCCATAAGAACTATATTTTATTGCTTGGAAGTTTTAATTTTAGAAATACACTTATGATCCCATGTTGTTATTTGAAAAGTATCCTTCTAATAGAATTTTCCTTAGCTATTTTAATTCTCATTTTTGTGTTAGAGCTATTAAATAATCTTTAGGTGATGATTATCAGTGTAGGAATTTTTCAGCCCTTTAAAGCTCCAAGGCTAACTCTTATTTTATTTCCAAACAGAGATGTTGTCTTTCCAAAGAGAGTAAGGTGATAAAGTACTTTAAGTGGGCAGTTTAGTCTCAGTCTCCTTTTAATTTTGAGAGGAAAAGGTCAAGTCATTATTTATAGTCATTACGCTACTAATTCTTTAATATTATCAGGAAAATATGATGATCTCCTACAGATGTGGATACCATCAGGGTTTTTCTGTGTGTGATCAATGGACACTGGGTGGCCATGGACTACTATAAAGTGGAACTGTGCAGCGCAACTGTGAAAAGCAAGCCTGTTGGCGTTTGTCTTTTCAGGGGACCTACACCTTCGCTGGAAATTTTTTGAGATCCACAAATTGAAAATGTTGAAAACCACTTACTTGCACAATATTCCAGATGGACTTTAGCTCTTTGGCCTGCACTTTGAGTTGGCCACGAGCAAGCTGGCATCTTACTGACAGCCATGCGAATTCATTACCACAGTACGTTGCTTGAGCTAATAAGTCCTAGGAAAAAAGTAAGAGGAAAAAGAGAAGTACAATCTCTTCTAATAAATACAATTCCCAGCAGTCACATTGCTTCTTGCACCACAATTTGCTTTTGTCCATCATTAAAGGAACTTACTGGAAATCACTGAATATTTGTTGTGTGTTAAGTGTGGCTTACAAATAAATGTATTCTCCAATCTAATTTAACAGTTTAAATTACGCACGTCCTCGAGAAGAACCTGGCTGCAGTCCATGAAATTTAACAAGTGCTCTATTCCAAAATCAGATAAAAATGTTATCTTTAAAGTGTACATTTTAGATGCCTTTGCAAATACATATTAAATATATATCTGAGTTATAAGCATTTTATAGCTACTATTAAATACTGAGTATAAGAAGTACAAACTGTAGGTGTATGCAAATTAATGTGTGCATATTGCACATCTTATGCTGACATTTTTGGTCTTAAACAAAAACCCTTTAGACACAATAAAAGCTATCATCTCTTAAAATAATAGGTCAAATAACTCTGTCCTTGGAGACTTCCAGACAAAATTGTCTGTGTTAGTGAAATGTTACCATTTAAACAGAGCCACATACATTTTGAAGTGTACTAGAGATGAATGAAAGATTTTTAGATTTCAATAACTAACTAATCCTAAAGAGCACAACCAATCTCAGGTCTTTATGATGTAAAAATATGTTCTTTTTGGAAAGATCAACCACAGTGTCTGAAAGCACACTCAGTTGCTTGGGCAAATCCAGTAATTCCAGTTCTCTCTTTTTTTTTTTTTTTTTTCTCTCTCTCTCTCCATTTAAAATGATAATTTGTCTCTACTGAAGAGATTTTTGAGCATATTTTTGTTACATACCTGCAAGTGCAGTTGATACTACTGCTGTTTCAGACACTTGTGTTTGGCAGCCTGGCCTAGGGATGGGTGTAAAACCCAATTGACAGCTGCTGAAGCTAGTGGATGAAGGAGGGAGAGTGAAAATGAGCCCAGGCTCAGCAGGGGCTTTCTGTGTTTTGGCTACATGGGACAAGACCCCATGATATCAGAATTTTCCCTGTTCCATTGCAGGTGCACTCAGCAGATCCTTCCTAACATTCTGTTGAACGGCATAGTCACAGCTGAGCCTATTCCCTTCTATCCTCCTCTGTCTCTCACTGCCTCTCTTCGGACGCATGAGTTACCAGTGCAGGATTCAAAAGCCCTCTCTTCTGTGGCATAGTGCCGTGTGTTTGTGCCACGAAGCAAATCCTAGTAAAGATCCATTGGCTGCAGGATATAGGGCGCACAATGCTAAAGCAAGACCTGTGATCTGTCGTTCTGTGTGTCCATATTTCATATTCCTGTGCCCTCCTATGTATCATGGGATGCTTCTGCATCTCTCTTGTCTGTGTGGGCAGTGACATACAACAGCAGGAAGTTGTGGGCTTGCACCAAGGTCACACTAGCAGACAGCTTTCCTCCCAGCTCCAAACCCCAGCAAGCCTCCTAGTGCCCTTCACTCACCAAACTCCAGTGCTCCCAGCTTAATGCCTATGGGGAGCATCCAACAATTTCTGGAGAGTTTAATTTTGTTAATCCATGATAAGAATATATATATTCTTGAGAAACCTTGAGCTACTCCACAATATAATGATCACATTGGTAGAGCTCAAATGCTCTCTTGGGGAAAGTGTAGTTTGTTTGCATGAAATGAAAGTCAAAATTCTGGGGATTCAGAAGCAATAAAAAACTTACCATAAATCTTGTCACATTTAACATCTGCTTTAGCTCTTTGTTTTCTGTGAAATAGAAAACTTCTCTTCATTTTGCCTTAATGAGAGATGGAGTATTGTAGATGAGGTTTTCACAGGTTTCCACTGATGACAGTAACATTTCATTTGCTGTTGGAAGTGAACTGTAGACAGCATCTACCATGGGAATTGGTAGACTGCTGAAGGTCACCTGAAACTTCACCTGAAACACTGTTTTATCTATTTCTATGTCATTTCCGTTTTCCTTGTGGCAGCCTGTTTAGCTGAAAGCACAGTGACATTTTGTGATTTTATTACTGTAATATGATATTTAATATCATGGAATACTTGGATCTGGCCACAGAGCTCAGGCAATGAGAGGTTAATTCAGGTGGTTTATTGAAACTAATTAACAGTAGGTACTAGAGATAAGAACAGTTCTGCTAAACATCTTTCATTCAGCAACATCCCTATGAAGAATAAGCTATTCTGTAAGTTACCATATCTATTTCAAAACTGATTTTTAAAACCAAGTTGTGGGCAACTTCCAGAGTACTCCATCTCACTGCCATCCTAATGGCATTGGCTGAGCAGGGTCCACTTTTAATCAATAGGAAGAACAAGGTAAACAAAAGTAAAGTGGGCATAATTTCAAATCCTATTTCTAGTAAAATTACAATTAGTGGTTTTACCTGTATTTAGCTAAATAGAATGTATATGAGGTTTATTCTGAGAATTGAGTGAGCTCAGTCAAGATCAGGTGAATCTTTTTATTCTTCACGTAATTTATAATTTACCCCTGTCTTTTCGATGCTCCCTGACCTCACAAACCCAAAGACTTTTAAGTATTTCTGGGAGATATCCAACCTCTTTGAATTAAAATAGGCACCTTATGCAGTTGCTTTCAGATAAATGTGTCTGTGTTTCAATTCACTGCACCAATAGGTCTTTCTGTCTTTTTCCTGACTTCTACTTCTGATTCCAATTTAAGAATAAAAAAAAAAGGAAATAAATGAATAAAAATGTTTGGTAGATGGATTAAAAAAATCTGTGAAAACATTTTGATTTTTTTGTTGATGAAATGAAAGTTTTAATGCCTCTACTCATCCAGCTAAAAACATGCACAGTGCCATTATCAGAAATATGATTCAGTACAGACCCTGCGATTCAAGGTCCCACTAATGTTTTCCTCAGGTCAGATATAAAACACTCTCATCTGCCCCTAACTCGATGCTACAGTGTACTTACACCATGAGTTCACTACTCATAACTCCTGGAGGAAAAATAGAGCATTGGGAGACTGTATGTAGAAAGAAGATAGATAAGAACAGTCGAATGGCTGTACTTGCTAGTTGTGATTGTTTACTGTATCTGTTTGTGATCTCTTTCATATTTGGCATACGGTTATTTGGAATTAAGGACTGTTGTTCTGTCATGTCTTGGAGCAACAGGATCCTGGCTTTCAGTCTTCATTTCTAGATATTAGATCAATGCAGATGTGATAATGCTCAAAGTACTGCTGGTTCCTCTCCTTTTTATTCATATTTTCCTTATAGCTTTTGCATTTGAGTGCAGTTGTAGGAGGACACCAGCGTTGAATGCAATCTTAATAAGAGTAAAAAACTAAAGCATTCTTTTAAGAAAAAAATAATTTCTGGAAAATTAATCTGATTTCATTCTTCCCACCTCATCATTTTTGCAACTCAAACTTGTGGGTTTTGTTTTTTCACCAAATATATTTCTTCCATCTTTCTACACGTGAAGCAAAGCTCCTTGCCTAAGGTCCTATTTTAATATGGGTCTGGAAGAAAGTATCCAAATGCTGCTGTTGAAAGTGTAAGTCCCCTATCAAGCACTTATCAGAATGGCCACTCCAGTGTGAAGCAAATCCACAGTAGTTACATCTGAGCTGTAAATCCTGAGCTCTCATACTACCCAGCTCTCAGATTCAGGTGTGAACTCCAACTATTATCAGAATAAAATCTGGACAGGGACCAAGCTCTTCCGCTCCCTATTTCCACCTTCTTTCTTCAGAAGAGAAGAGTCATAGCAGAATCACAGCATAATCCAGCAGCATTGCTGTAATGTGACCCGCAAGCCACTGTAGATGCAACCTAAAAGTTGTATGGATGGAAAAGGAGGAAGCCTTACTCCAGGTGGCAGGGCTTTTGTTCTCCTTTCCTGGGAGACTTACCTGCCCATAGGCAGTAAGCTTAATATATAGAGAAAATGAAAGCATGAGGAAAACCCCTTACATGACTATTGCAGGTATAAAAATTCTTTTCCTCCTGCATTAAAAAAGTGTTGATGTGTAGAACCAAACCTGAAGTAAAATTAGCCATGCAGTTGAGTCCCTGACCTCATGCTGTTTATTCATCACTCTGTTTTTTCCGTCCCTGTGAGCTGCAATGCTGTATATTCTATTTCAAGGATTCTTACAAATGCACAGGCATAGTACGAAATAGTGCAAATTGTGTTAGATTTTGGATAACCTTTCGCAGATGAATAAAATAGCTCCTGAGAAAGAAGCTATAAAAGTATTATAAGAAAAATGACTCATATTTCCTAGCTGTCTAAAGTGATCAGTTATCCCAATAAATGGTAATTCTTTCGAGACAAAGTGGGCACACTTCTAAATGTCTGGGAGAGAAGCCCTGCAAACATTTTTACTGCTCTTTTAAATACAATTGTATGTACTAAGCTGGCCTAGAAAAAGTAGTTACAAACAGGACAAGGTGGGCGGAAAGAGCAAAAGCATAATAACTCTCAATTTTTCTCTGTACTTTAATTTGTATTTCTGCTTTTCTCTCTCTCTCTCTCTTTCTCCCTCTTTCTCTCTCTCTCTCTCTCTCTCTCTCTCTAATGTCCTCAATTATTAGAGTGCAAAGATGTGAACAAAGTGGCATATTGCCCACTGGTGCTGAAGTTCAAGTTCTGCAGTCGAGCATATTTCAGACAGATGTGCTGCAAGACCTGCCAAGGACACTGACTCCCAGCAAGCATGAGAATGTGCCTTGTTATTACCATTGTGGAAAAGTGTCCATCGAAGAGAGCCACACAGTGGAATGAGATTGACGTCCTTGCGAACGCATAACCCTGTGGAAAACGTAACCACTGGTCAGCCCCAGCTGACAGGATTTCAATATTATTTTAACTTCTGTGAAGTGGGATTTATTCATCCAAAGTGCTGGACACAGTATGAGGAGGGCATGCCAATTTGGAAAGATGCACACAACACATATAGAATAGCTTACTGTGGAACATTTGTGTTCTTTTGACTAAATTCAATAGTCTGTTTACCTCCTTGGACCATTAAAATAATTTTTATTATGGACTTAGCAATGACACTGAATCCATTTGTATTTAAAACTGTTTAAAATGTAGCTGTTATGACTTGGTCTATTATGGAAATAAAGAAGAAACAAAAAACTGTTAAGTCATAGCTTTAAAATGTTAACTATTTTATCTTACAACACAGCACCACAATTTAAATTATAAAATGAGCTTGGAAATGTTATTTAAAGAGCAGAATTTTTTTTTAAAAAAAGTATTTTTCCTTCATTCCACCTAATTCCCTTTGGAGTAATCCATATTTCCTAAACACTGCTGTGGGCCATATATAAAGCTGTACTAAATAGGACAACCATGAGGGACTTAGTTTTAAGAGGTGCAACAGTTATTGCAGTGGTGCATGAAATACAAGTGTGCTATGAAGTGAAATGAAATCTGTGTTGCAGGTTTATAGCCATCTTACCATTGTACAAGTGAAGCTGAGGTTTCCACTAAAAGGGAAAATATTCCAGTATCACAGAGGAGGCAGACTCCAGTAGTGGTGAAAACTGTGTTGTCAAGTTTTTCACTACCAGGTACAGGTTGCCTAAAACTTAATGCCTTGACTCCAACTCCCTTTTGTTTACATCAATAGCCACAAAGAAGAAACAGCTTTGTGGGCCTCTAGTTCTGTTTTGCATGTTACTTTTGACACCAGGGACTTTCAGTACAAAAGATAAGCCTACTATGAAATAGCAACATCTCTTTGCAAAATTGGCCAAAAGTTATAGCAGATTTCAGGTGTCCCCTTCTTTGGTACTGTAGTTGGAGGGCGTTTTTTTATGAGAACGAATATATGAGTGTGCAGTTCAGGAGACCACAGCAGAGTGGGTGAGGATTGCAACCAAAGAATAAGGGACTTGGGGAGATACCTAGATTCTGCTCAAGTAAAAGGTCCAAAGTGTGCCTGACCCAAGAGGCCCGTTGGACCGGCAGGTGTAAGGCACACTGCAATAGGTATGGCTGGAGTGAGGTATGGACCCATATATAAGGCTGGATCTTATTTAAAGCTAGGGGTGACTTTCAGCCTGAGACTGGAGCAAACTTGTGCCTCTAGATTTGTAGTTAGATGCCACAAGTGCTCTGCTACCATACTCCACCTATTTCTTATTACCGTATTCCTAATATTCACCAAATACTTTGCATTTAAATGTGAAACCAAACTATTTAGGCAGGTCACGTTTCAAGAAGATAGCATAAAAAAAGTAAATGTCATGCTCCTCTTCCCCTTCACTTCTCAATAACTGACTCAACAAGGAGATAAGGAAAGTGGGTACTTGTTTATATTAATATATTGTACTTGAACACTTGCAGTTTGCAGTAGGTACTTGATGAATGTGCTTTTGTGTCCAACTGTGCCTCCTTCGTTCTAGTGCAATTAAAATTATGTGAACAGTAACTTGTGTTAGAAGTTTTAACTCACATAGCACTTTGTTTAAAAAAAAAAAGTACTCTTCAGTGAAAAAAAGATCAAAAAGTCATGTAAGAATGAAGTGTATCAATGTATTTAACCAATAACAAGCCAAATGTGTTGCACATTGTTTACAAATGTGAATTAACATGGAAAAATGGATATTTTTAACAGGACCTGTACCATGACACCCTCTTTCCCCCCAGCATATGGACCATTTGTATGTGGGGTTTTGTGTAGCCCACATATTCATTATCATCAAATCCCAGTCATGTGCTACCTCTTGCCAGTATTTTCACCTCCTTACACCTGTGACCAGTGGAATTCATGTTTGGTTGCCTGCATGTGTTTGTGTATGCTTATCTGCTGATCTCGTCACCGTGTACTCAACTCCTCTTAGAACAGACACCAGAATAATTTTTTTTAAAAGAGTCTTTGGGAGTTATGTATATGTATGAAATGGCAGTATTAGTCCTTCGCTGTTAAGCGAATCACCTTTTGATATCCTTTTGACGAAACACCTTGGTGCTAGCGTGCCCTCGTTAGGTCAAAATACGATAAAAGGGAAAAGGGTTGCTATGGCATTCTCTAAGCAAGAGGCCTGTTTTTCTCCAGGGCACAATTGTGTTTATCAGATAATGTGCCTTTTCAGCTAACAAGGAAAGGTTTTTTTTTTTTTTTTTAGTGTATTCAAAAGAAACCTTTTTTTTTTACCTCATTTAGGACATTAAAATTGTAAGGAGTGTTTCCAAAGATATATTTTGCTCTCTTTACTGGTGCTACAACACTAGGGAGTCTGATGTTTACTCTGAAACGTAACAGCACTGAGGTTGGAATTTAAAGAACTCCCTGGAGCAACATTGAATTGTATTGTTAAAGGGAACAAAACACAGAATGTATTTGGATTTACAAACTAAGCAACACTTCAGACTAAGACCTAAAAATGAAACCTAATTCAAAGAAAAATAATTGGTTGCCACAGCACAGTTCATTGCTGCTGCTACACTGTAGCCATCTATGTAATCTAAGGTAAATAGTGTTATATTCCTGAATAGCGACCGTAGGACTATTTGTGTAGGCTATAAAAATGTCAGGCCTAGAATCAAATAGTATAATACTAAACACACAGATCAATCTGGTGCCAGTACTTTCACTGAGCAATACTACCAGCTAAAGAAGATGAAAATGGAAAGAAAAATCTAGAGATTAAACCCTCAAGATATATACACCCCAAAATAGCCCATTTCATTAGGAACTTTATAATGGAGTGAATGTCACATAGATATTCTTAATAATACAGACTGAAATTACCTTTGTATTATTGTGATTAGTTGCTTATTATTTTATACTCAGTATTAATGTGGTACACTGTTACTTTATTATTTTTTGCTTTTGTAAATTATATTCTAATTTATTGTCATGTTTCCTAACACTTGTTCTACATGCAATCTCCTGCTTGTAATGAAAACAAAGAATATTGTAACACTTGATGCAGTGAAGTTCCACACCAGGCACAGATTTGTTTTAACATAGATAATTTAGTGAAATAAAACTGCAGCTGTTAAGAATGATTCTCATGGTGCTGTTGTCTCCCTGACTTACAGTTGCTAGAATTCTGCATACTTATTTTTGCCCTGTCAGATGCCTCAAAATATATATAAGATGTTTTCTTTCAAATTGCAACTGTATGTTGTTCCAGAATTCTGACCTTGGCAGTGGCAATGTTTGTCATATGTAAGGAGAGGGAAAAGTCAAGAGCATGATCGTGTATGTTATTAGATAATATTGTAGCCTAAGCAATAGACACCAAAGTAGTTGGAGAATTACGTTAATGGCAGCAAAATATTCCATGCTTCTTGGAATGATTTCCTTGTCAGACAGACAGTAATAACAATAATGATAAAATGTCCTTCTTGCAGTGAGTTTTTAAAGTATTATCTGAAGTTTATCTAAAGCAATAATAAGTGTAAAGAGCAAAGTCATTTCAGAAGACTTGGTGCATAGATCACTGTTGCTGAGAAATGTTTTCTTTCTTACCTGGTATGGTAAAAATATTCTGTATTGAAATTCGTGATCAAGTTCTGTGTGATATTTCCTGTTTCTTTACTTTCTCTGAAACAACAGTTAAAAGTGTCTTCTGTTTTAATGAAAATAATCTACTACTATATGTAAGATGTCAAAGAAAGAACAGAGAAGCTTAAATATTTTAATAAGCCATTTAATATTTTGGTTACTCTTTTTTTCTTCTTTTTTCTAATGAGAACTCAAAAAAAAAAATCTGTGTTTCAAAGGTACTTATATTCTCACCTATATGCTATAAAGAAGTTTTATTATGGAGCAAAAATCAGAAATGGAATCAACTTGGTACATTACGTAGTCTAATGACAGTTTTCTCCATGACTCTGAATCTGTTGTCTTTTCACCCAAACATTCACACTACAAATTATTACCTGATACATTTCCAACTATTGTTCAGTTCCGAGTATTATTCTTTCCCCCGGGAGTAACTGTTTTACAGTACAATGACAAACTGTGTACACTGAAACAGATGCCATTATGTTTCCATCTCTGTTTCATATTTTGCTACCTTATACCTGACATCACCCATGCTGAGTGTAGAATTCCTGGCACACAAAGTCCCCTTCAGTCTTCTAAAATACGCTCTTCGTACACCTGAACTTCTCACTAGAGCTAACTCCAGTAATAAAATTTTGAGTTATGTATTTCAGTTCATTCCTTTGAGTTCTTTGACCCCATTTTTACATGGTAGGGTGGAACTAGCAAATATTAGAGTCTGCATCTGTAGAATGCTGAGCAGGCCTTGATTATTTTGCTGACTTTTTTATTATTATTTTTTATTACTAGGAACTGAGATCCAAGACTCTTCTGTAGACTTTTTCTGCAATAGACTTTGATGAGTCCTGGGAGTCTCATCTGGAGTCAGTCAGTCATCAATCTGAGAGCCTTAAGAGAAGGCCATTACTAAACTGAAGATGTCATTCTGTGCGAAGCGACGCCCTATCTGGCCGCCTTCCCTTCACCACAAACAACAATTAGGTGGAATGGATGGATCATTGCTTCTATGTGGTCCCTGCAAACCTGGTCCTAGACAGAATGGTGGAGGAGTGTTTGCATGCAGTCATCAGCATGGAATCACAAACAGATTTATAAGGACTCAGTCAGCCACATAACTAAGGCTCACTACACCGCTAGTAACTTGGGAGCTTCCCAAGTATATTTGGCCCAGCTAAATGGAGAGGCTGTGTCCGGATTAGGAAACTGAGCTGCTCAAAATGCAGTACGGTGTGCATTTAAGAATACGGCGTCCCATAAATTGGCATATCACCTAAGCACCACACATTGTTTGTTTTATTCCGTTCCTGTACAGGACTGACATTTTCATTGAGTTGGATAGACTATGGGACGTGTCTCTCATGCTCATCAGAGTTCCTATAGCTGTTAGTCAGAAAATGACTGAAGTTTGACCTTGAAAGAATATAAATACATTTTTCTACATTAAAAGTAGGAAGATGCCATTTCTGTAAGCTGGGAGACCTTTCTAGAGAAGACATAGCAAGATCCCTAGATAAATAATGGGCCTTCTTTAGTAATCCTGTTTGGAATTAATTCATCAGATCACAGCCTCAGATAGAAAAGGAAGTGTTCTGGAGGCTGGAAGCAACAGCGCAGCCAGAGGGCTCCGAGCTTTGGTTGCTGTGGCCACCCAGGAGAATCAGATCTGGCCTTGCTGGTATGGGCTAAGCCGCAGCTTTGGAAAACGCACTTCCTCAGTGCGCATCACAAGTCAGTGTAACTCCTTAACTCTCTCCATTTCCCTCCAATTAGTTCTTGACATCAAAGTTTTTTCTAACCATACACACTTTGTTTTGCAAAGTTTATGACATAAAATCATCCTTCATATTGTTTGAAAACCCGTTTCACAGTATGATCTATTTCTTTTGTAATGAAGATCAGTCTTCTGTGT